TGTTTGAAAAACGTTGAAGCTAAAATAGGAATTTGGGAGGGTGGTGTGCAAAGCTGCATACAGGCTGAAGACATACACATTGTTTTTTTTTTGCGTAAGGAGTGATCGAGTCCAAGCCAAGACCAATTAAAAATTAATGTGTGACAAGACCAAGTCCATTCATATGTGGACTTGTGACCAGATTCAAGAACCACAACTCTGAAAAAGAATAATGAGAAGTATTAAGTAGTATTACACTTAGACAATTGCGTTTACTGTACATATTAGCAGATGCTTTCGTCCAAAGTGACGTACGAGTGCGGCAAAAACACATTACTAACATTCATGCTGAAAGGTATTCAACGAGGTATAAGTGCAACTAAGCTGAGCTTCCAATGAATGTCCAGGTACAAGTGGCAGCAATGCTGGAGCAAAAGCTACACAACAACTTCTAACAAAGCAAGAAGAGAGATGGAACACCATTCATCTGAGCATCCCTAGTCAGGTAAAATGTTCCTTTATTTTTCACTTGCACAAGTACATCAGAATGCTTTTCTTTGCTCAAGGGTTCATGGACACGTAACTGTTCTACCCACGTAGTGGTTTGAACCAGCAATCTTCTGATCACAGACATAGAGGCTTAACTCATTGAGCCACTCACTGCCCCCTGAACCTGATATCACTATTCAAGGACCAAAAGTGCAACATAATAGCATTCGAAGAACGTAGAGAGTCAGGTTAGTAAAGGAATTTGTGGAACAAAAGGGTCTTGAAGCATTGATGACCAGACGTGGTTTGGCAGCTCATTCCAGCATTGGGTAACCACACATTTCTCACATGCTGTTGGTTTGCTGACCAAAGGGTGAAAGATGGGATACAGGAACAGTTGCAGGCTATGGCGGAGAGTCTGAGCATGGCAGAGGCAGATAAGCAGCAGGCAGAGGTAGGACAGCTGCTGCTCAGAACCTGAGGACCTCTCTGTGCATTGGGGGGGGCTATGTGCCAGGCTGCTCTGAAGTTTCCGGGATCTTAAAGCATGATTCAGCTCTCTGAGTGGGTGACGTATCCCAAACCACTTATGTTACAGGAGAGCTTCCAGAAAGTCAGCAGGAGGGTGAAAGCTCCATATGAGACAATGCACAAGCTCCTGGTGCAGGATATGGACAATGAGGAAGCTGGACACGGCCCACTACAGGTTCCGCAAGGACAACTCATCCCAGGTCTCGCAGCTCCACGAGGGACAGGAGGAGGCCAAGCAGCTTCTCGGGAACCGTCCAGATGGCACTTAATTAAGCCAAGAACCTCGGCTTCATGAAGGTGCCTGGACTGGGTCATTTGGACCTCATTCACTGCCACATAGGACATCTGGCTGTCACAGGTCACATTATCTGATGTGTTTTTCTCCATGCTTTTTAGGACACAGCATCAGTGGAAATATGGCTAAATATGTAAGTTGCTTAAAGTGTTGTTGTGTTGCTTCCTAGGCCCAGTTCCACCCCCAGGGGGATCTCTGCCCCCTGGCCGAGCTCTGGCCTTGACCATGCCCCACACTCGGTCAGTGCTACCATTCTGACCAGGGTGAAAACATGCCACAGCCACAAATAGGGTCATTCTGTGGGCGGCCAGCATGGAGCCTCAGTCTGCAGGGCCTCCGAATCCTTCAAGCAGATGCTATATCAGTGGGGGGGGGGGGGGGGCACAGATTGGGCCTCCACACCATCACCTCTCATCTGCTTCAAAACATCACACAAGCAAAATGGAAGCACACAGAGGTGAGAGTGAAGTGTGGGGTCAGACATCTGTCTGGTACGGTTGGGGTTAAGGGACTAGCTCAATGGCCCCACAGAGATATTATCTCTGTCGGACAGCGTATTTGAGTCGGAGACCTTCCGTTCATGGTGTGAAGCAACCGTGCTACCCACTGCCACCGTGCCACACCAGATTGAGTGAGTATGCTATACAACTTTACATTACTGCTTTGCTCTACATCAGGGGTTTCCAGCTCCAGGCCCGGAGAGCCTCAGCCCTGCACATTTTCGGATTCCTCTCATTAAACACAACTGATTCTACTTCTCTGCTAATTACCCCCCTATTGCTTTAGTTGAATCAGGTGTGGAGGAACAGGGAGAACTAAGCTATGCAGGATTGTAGCTGGAGACCCCTGCTCTACATTATATGTGCAATACAAATATGCCAAAACAAAGCCAGAACATCATTGTAGCTGGAATGGATACCTGTCAACTTATAGCTTTTCAATCTCATGGCCCTGCAATTCCAGCTCCAATGGAGGACAAAATTAAATTGCATTAATTGTTCACTAACCAACAAGGAACACTGGCAAGAAAATGAGTTTACCTTGCCTAACAGCCGAACTCATGTTCTGAATGGGTAAAGGTCTTGCACGCACTGCCTCACTGGGTGGGTACAAAAAACACATCAGGGCCCACAACTATCTAATCAACTCCTAAACAGAAAGTGATCAGAAATGCATTTAAGTCTGTTAGCCTAGTAAAGCAGAAAATGTTTTGTTCCACCGAGTGTCCTTTCATCAACAGTGATGCCGTCTTGCACAAAACTTTCTATGCCACTTTTTTTAACTACATACTTTTTTGATTCATGTGGAAATGATTGTGATGATGATATATTGACAGTAAAAACACATTTTATGTGATATAAAACTCCTCCTTCTCCAGTTTTCCCCCCACAGTCCAAAAACTAGCTAAAGGTGAACTGGAGTTACCAAGTTGTCTGTTGGTGTGAATGTGTGTGTGAATGGTGTGTGAGTGTGCTCTGCGATGGGTTGGCACCCCATCCTGGGTTATTCCCTTCCTTGTGCCTGCAGCTTCTGGGATAGACTCCAGACTCCCATGACCCTGGATAGGATAAGCAGATATGGATGGATGGATGGATGGATGGATGGACTAAATGAATGTACATAATTTTTGAGGATCACATTCTAATAACAATACTTTTATTGATCCCTGTGGGAAAATTATTTTCACCTACCCCATCCTGCTCTTCATGACACACAGACACACATGTCGGTGAGAGCTGCCTGCTGCAGCTGGGGCTTAAGCACCTTGGTCAAGGGCCCTTCTAATCATAGGCACGCAGGATTGTTCTCTACCAATATTACTTGGTATCAGTGGTTCAGCTGTTAGATAAGTTATTGTCCTAAAAAGGGTTATTTCAATTGCAATCAGTAAGGTTAGGGTAAGAGGCTGAAGAAACCTTATATAGCTTGTATTGTCGCAGCCTGTCGGACCATGCCAATTTGAACACCTCTGACCTCGTAGATTTCCATTTGCGCTCTTATCTGTGGCACTCCTGTTTGTTAGAATGCGTGTGATCATTTAACCATGGGGTGTGTCTAGCAGTTGGACAACTATTTGCCATTTCATCCAAAACTGAAAAATTGGGAAACATGCCAATTAGGGCTGCGTTGCTTGAAATTAGTAACCACTGGAAAATGTTTAGGACAACAGCATCATGAATATTTTAATATTTACTATAACAATTCTGGGAAATGCAACCCCTTTGAAACCTGGTTCTGTCCATGCTATGTAAATGAAACTTGCTCAGATAGTACAATCTACCACACAGAGTGTACTGCCAAAAGCATTTTCTGATATAGTCCCCTGAGACAAAGATGCAGGGGGCAGTGTACAGTACCTGCCAGGAAATGCAACCCTTTTGAATTTCTGTCTCTGTTGATGCTACATTAATGAAACTTGCTCAGATAGTACACTTGATAGTACACAGAATGTACTATCAAAAGCATTTTCTGATATAATTTAAAAGAATGCTTTTGATAGTACACTCAATTTGACAGAATGTACTATCTGAGCAAGTTTCCTTTATGTAGCATCAACAGAACCAGAATTCAAAGGGGGTGCATTTCCCGCCAGGTGCCCTGCTGAAAAATACTCTCAGGATCTTTCTCTCCGATGATCATATCATAATTATGTTGATAATACACACAGTGGACCTAAAGTTGTTATCTGAGCAAGCTTCACAGACTCAGTGTCAGTGCAGCTAAATTTGAAAGGGGTACATACCTTATACATAAAGATGCACCCCCCCACCAATGTTCCTGTGATGTTCTCCTACGATGCTTTTCATAAAGCTACGCAATTCACCAACATCAATAAACAGTGAGAACTCTGTAAGGTACTAATAACACAGTTACTGAGTCAGTTTCTTAAATATTATACATGTAAGCTGCCGTAAAATGCACCCGCAAGTGCTGCACGTGATATGGCAATTCAGTAATTATTATGTAATTCGTTAAATGTGTTGGTTGCTAACAGCATTTCCTGATAGAATCAAACGAGAGAATGGAAATGGATTTCCTAGCAGGTAAGCCGTCATAAAGACAAACATCTTTTTTTTGTTTAGGTATTTCAGATCACTATACCAGAATATTCTCTTCATTGTAGAGAGAAATAAATTACTAAATTATCTGTATAATAAATCATATTGTGTAATCTTTTTTGGTTAATAAAGCCAAGGACTTCCTTCTTCATAAACTAGTAAACTAATGACGAGACATAAACAACCTATGTTCTGGTTCGGGGCTCATCTACATGTCATCGCATAGTTTATCAGTTTTATATGGGTTAAATGCAGCTTTCTAACTTTAATGTCAGAATTCTGACTTTAATCTCAGAATTCTGACTTTTTTTTTTCTAAACTTAGAATTCTGAGATTAAAGTCAGAATTCTGAGAAAAAAAGTTAGAATTCTGAGATTAAAGTCAGAATTCTGACATTAAAGTCAGAATTCAAATAATATTTTCATGGTGGCCCTAATCCTCTTCCGTAGCTTTTGTGATGTGAAAGAGGTAAACGTCTTCTAAATCTGTAAACGCAATATAATTTTTCTGTTGCACATGTAGATGGACGGAACTACTTATTTCCCCGCCTTCGAATCGAAGTAAAGAGCTGTGCAGGGGTGCAGATTTCGGCCCAACACCTGCAATGGGTTCCGTCCATGTTAAGTGGGACGCTAAGGAGAGGCGACATGATGCAATGATCGGCTACTAACTTGTCTATTATAATTAAAAGAAGCATTACAGTCTAGTCTTTCGTTCTAACATAGTCATTCAGTTTTACTTGATGACTGGTACGCAGGCTTGCAGTCACAGCTCATGCAAATCTTTTAATCCGTGGAAAGAATTAAACCGGGTCCTGGGGGATACTTTTGTGTTTAGTAGGCTAGTACTAATTCTGCTGAGGTTCCCGCCGGTGTGCCCCCCAGTATATCAAGGTGCTGTCTAGAATCACACCTTGAGTGGCGCTGTCAGTGAGTGTCAGTCGCTGTCAGAGCTTTGGAAGGCATACGGCCGAGTGACTGAAGCGTGCGAATGGATTGCATTTGTTTTTCCGGAAAAGCGCCTCTTCACGCAGATTCCGCCGGGTTTGTCGGAGCACTGGGGCTTTACTGCTCGCCCGAAGTTTTTTGCACCATCGCCGCGGCTTCGCTGCCGTGATGTTCACGATCCCGACGATCCAGTTCTCTTCGGAACACGGACACGAACAAATCTACGGGGACCCCACTGTCACCGCATCCGCGACCGTGGACCCCACGAGGAACCTGTCACGGGTGGAGCAGCAGATCGACTCCAGCCTTGCAGAGTTTTTCTTTATCGGGGTGGCGTTGTCGATCATCACTCTCGTCACTGTGGTGGGAAACAGCTTGGTGATAATTGCTGTCTGCGTCGTCAAGAAACTTCGGCAGCCCTCAAACTACCTTCTGGTGTCGCTGGCCGTAGCGGATCTCTCCGTGGCTCTGGGCGTCATGCCCTTTGCGATATTGACGGACCTAAAAGGAGGAAAGTGGGTTTTTGATGAGGTTTTCTGCAACATTTTCATCGGCATGGATGTCATGTGCTGCACCGCGTCCATACTTACCCTGTGTGCGATCAGCATCGACAGGTATGTCCATGCAATACATCTAAAATGCTGGACCTTTATGCATACCATATCCTTTAAACACAAACTTAGCTGTGATATTAGAATATTTTCTTTTGTGGAAAACCCTTGTATATTTTTATCATGATACATTTGTATATTTTTGTCATAATAATTATTTTCTCAGATAACGGATCCGTGTATTTGTTATGCCTGAAAATTGTATGATTGTCTACGTATACATTAAGCAGGCGACCTTGTCCGGTGTCTGTTCAGCTATGGCGTAAAGCGTTAATTAGGTCTTTGCGTGCGTGAGCGTTTAGTTTGTCGCACTACCGCTTGCAGGCCGACTTGAACAATTCTCAGTGACTAATATAATGTAGATAAAAGAGAAAAAAAATCATTGCAGTGCTGTATCTATGCAGCTCACAAGGTTGGAGATTTTAGGACTGTGAATACTCCTATGGATCTCGCTGCCATGAAACCAGAATACCGATTAATCCAACCTAGATAGAATAAAGTGATGGGCGCTGGTCCAGGCTTTACATTAGGTGTACGCTTCCGGTGCATTTCACACAGTCTGTTCTTGCGGTGCATGAAATTATGACAAAATATAACTGATAAACAGATAAACTATCAACATTTTTTTATTAAATGTTTTTAGATATGATGCTTGTTCCCTGCAGCTGTCTTATTCTGCCTTGTTGTTTTTGTTATGGATGCTGGAAGTCCAAGCCAAGTTTCCTATTGTAGGACAATAAAGTGAATCGTGAATCTTCAATATTAAACTTTGACGGGCATACATAAGAGAAACACACAACAGTAGATTTGAAGTGAACACACTTTTATAGCCTTGTGTATTCTCGCAGTACACAAACACTATACCCTGTTTCTCAGTTGGGAAATTGTGGAAGTGCCTTTGATTGGTGAGTGCAATCTGCCAGTGATCTCCAAGTCAAGGAGGAGCATGTTCTCATGTTAATTGACCAGTAGTACACTTGTGGTACAAAGACTGGTCTATAGCACACTTCCAAAAGCAGGGTGACCTACGCTGGTTTTGAACCCTGTAACCCATTCCGTGTAAGCAGCTGTCAGAAGACTACCAGCTAAAACTGAACTGAACTGTACTTCGAATGTCAAAGAAGTGTTTACAGTGAAATTCCTCCACTCAGCACCTACTCCTCAGCTTCCTGATATACTGTAATGTGTCCTTAGAACAAATGTGAATCCCAACACACGTTCACTTTAATTAAGAAGCTCAGGATTCACATCAGGCTTATCCCGTATAACAGTATGTGAGGTATTTAACAGCCTTGTTCTGTATAACAGCATAATATGTTCCTACAAAAGTCCCTTGCTGAAAATGGAATCATATAACTATTGTTTTTATGCCAATGGACTTGTTAAAGCCACTGGTAAATTAATAGGCCCTACTGGAAGGGCAAAGATGATAGGATCCATGCACATTGAGAGTTATCTGCTGCAAAGCTGTCACATCGTGCCAGTGAACACATCATAAGTATCTCCATTATTTTTCCAGTAGATCAAGTTCTGGTCTAAACAACTCAAACTGTTTCCTGGTAAAAAGATGACTTCAAAGCATTGTCAACCTTCTTTTCCAAAGGAAGGTCATCACGTCTTTTCCCTTGTTTGGGCTAAGGTTAGGACTCTGCACTTTTGTCTGCAATATTCCAAGGATCTTCTGTAATTCAAAATATTTACTTGTCTTCTTGTCAGTGTTCGGCATTGGTTTCTCAATGAGCCATGCTGGATAAATCACAGGGCAGGGATGACAGAGCTGATAGATGGGGTCTTGAAGGAGATGAGACTGGAAGAATATAAACATAAAAAAGAGCCAATTCAGGGGCTGAACTTCATGTATTTAGATCGGCACAAATAGTAACTGGAACAGAGTGTGGCTACTGTTTGAGTACTTCATAGAAACTAAACAAAACAGAACATGCAAGCTATTTATAAATAAGGTGCAGATAAACTGAAAGGTGACATTACTCAGTGTCCTTACCCACCCCCAAGATGTAGGGCCTCGATTTTCTTTCAGCCATTGAGACTGAAATCTTAAAGGGAGAGGTTCCCACAAACATAAAAGCAGATATAGGGGTCCAAGTTCACTGCAGTATTCTCATGATGGGTAAATTTGCCTTTAAATAATTCAAGATGGATTTTTTTCATGCAGTACATGGAAAGCCAGTGATCCTGAAAGCACTAGATGTCACGGTGACATGGTTGATGCACCTCTTCAGTGTGGCATGGAAAATGGGTAAAATAGCTCTGAATGGCTGGTGGCCCCTATTTTTAAAAATGGGGACAAGAGGGTGTATTCCAACTGGCAATGAAATGGTTACTGGTTTCTTGGTAAACCATGGTAAAATTACAGTTAGCATTACTGTGTCAAATTTTAATGGATCGCTTGCACAAATGGTTCCGCGTTCAGCATAAGACAGCTCCTTCATTTCCCATCTTACATGTTGGTATGTGATTTTGAAATGTTTTGCACTCGTTGACTCCTCGAGCTACCAAATATAAACGTCAATGATGTTCATCATATTTGTGAGATGAGCAAAGCACCATATATGGTGCTTTTCCACTAGGATACATGAACTGACCCATACCAGAGCCATACCGCAAAAAGACACTAGTTACAGTGCAGTTCCAGCTTGCTTTGGTTTTCCACTGCAGAAGGCTCAGCTTGGTAAAGGTGTGAAGAGAGACAGTGACGCAAAACCGAAGAGATGTTTGTTTACTGTTCACACAGTGTGCATCATGATTTACTATGTGCTGATTTCCTAATTTTCTCGCACATCTGTGAGAATCACGATGTTAGCATGAAATGTTAGCGCAATTAGCATTCGCTTGTGTATACGTGCTTCCCATTCCTGTCTTACCCAGTTCTGTCATAGTACCCTATCATTGCCGCAACTCCTGGAATTATAAAGTCCCTTTTTGGGGGGTTTTCACCATTCATGGTTGTGTTCTGGAGTTCCTCACACCTTCTCTGACCTTAGGACTTGACAATATGTTAGAAATCTCATAAGTTATGTTATACTTAGTATTTTTTGTATTGTAATGTTGCACTGTCCAGTTAATTGTCTGTAGTCTGTGGCATTCAAGTAAGTATTTCATTGTACTTTGTACACGACAGTAAAATTTTAAAAACCATCCAACAAGCTGGAAAAGGTTTCAAATTCTATGAAATCATCATATATACAGAACAAAGGTAAAAAACTGAAGCAAGCTAAGACTACTAACGTTCTAGCTGTGTAACAATCGGAGAAGGCAGAAGTCAGTGAGTTATGAAATGGAAGCCCATTCTCAAAACCATGGTTGATTAATGCACTTTGAAAAATTTGAGTTAAATACTGTCCAGCATCAACTAAAGTTGGTAACAGTGTCTCAGACACAGGTGCACCATGCATCGTGGGTTTGGGTTGTATCAGTGAAAACATGGCGGAAGGCAGTTACAGCGCTGTGAACCATAGATGGCAACCAAGATGCGGGAGACTATCGGAACTTCTGGGATGTACAGTGAAATGTTTGCTCCGTGTCAGATGATTAAAAACTGAACCAATTCCAAATAGACTCCTCTATTGATGTGTTGTTTTTAGCGGCCCTCAGCTGGTTCCAACATTCCACTCCTCTATTCTTCCTTAACTTTATTAGCCCATACATGCTAAAGTGGCACGACGTCACCACGTGTTAATTGGGCAGTTGTGCCTTTTACCACACACCTTGCATGAAGGCAGCGGCGCGTATATATGCCGATTTAGCGAATGTGTTTCACTTTTAAATGTACATACATACACAGTAAACCCTCGTGTGTTCGCAGTTCGTGATTTGCGAATTCACAGATCTGCGAAAATCTCATTGGAACTGAACTTATTTGCATCCGCGAGATCCTCAAAAAACCCTTACAGAAGTGTTTAATTTTCGTAGTAATTTATAAGTTTTCATGCTTTTAAGTGTCAAATCGGTAAGACAAATTTAATTAAGATTCTACTGTGTCTATTGCTTTAATTCACCTCCCGCTACCCCACGTCTCAGCCGCCACAGGTTTTCAGGCACCTCGACTGCGAGGTGCGCATCTTCGGGATAGCTCCTCGAGGATATCCCTCATCCGGAAAGCAAGGGCTTGCAGCAAAGGCTCCCCCCTTACCTCGGGATGCTCAAGCCAATGCAGGGCCTCATTCAGGAGACCGAGGTGTTGCTCCTCGGTCAGGGTTAGGCATCTTTGTTTGGAGTTCCGTCATCCGCTCATGTACGGCAAGGCACGGACCGGGGAAGCAGGAGAAGGAGTTGAGGACAGGAGTAAAAAGAGTTTTAATTGGCACACGAAGGGGTGAATTACCCCTCCATAATTGGGGGGTACTGCCTTCATAACACTTCTATGACCATTATGATCCGCTACCGCGTCAATACAAATAGTCGCCACCAGGATCAATGTTAAGAGTGCAAGATGCACTAGGGGTGTTTACTAACATGTATGTAACACACGGTCATGGTCTGGACATGCGACACAATGAGAATCAATACAGATCATCTCATTATCCTTATCCCTATCCAAAAGAACTTGGTTTTGATAACTCCCAGGAATTATCCTAGATGAAGTATACTAGTAAAAGTAATAAGCCTATACATTTACAAACAGCCTGGTCTGGTCCAGCAGTCTGGTGTCATTCCTGCCCTCTCAGTCCCCTCAGCTCCAACAGCCTTCAGAAATACATATTTACCTATTAGGCTAATATCTGTCTTCATGATACAGTAGATCTTAAAGTACAGCCTAATTTCTAACTCACCTCTTGGTCCTGCGCTCTGTCCTCATCCTGCCATCTCCCTGCTCACTGTCCCCATCCTGCCATCTCCCTGCTCACTGTCCTCATCCTAATTAATAATCATTTTATTAATCATTGTAACAGAATATGTGTGGTGGGCCCTTTTTAAACAAAAGGAGGCAATTCTTTATAAATAGGAACAGAAGTTCCACATNGAAGTATACTAGTAAAAGTAATAAGCCTATACATTTACAAACAGCCTGGTCTGGTCCAGCAGTCTGGTGTCATTCCTGCCCTCTCAGTCCCCTCAGCTCCAACAGCCTTCAGAAATACATATTTACCTATTAGGCTAATATCTGTCTTCATGATACAGTAGATCTTAAAGTACAGCCTAATTTCTAACTCACCTCTTGGTCCTGCGCTCTGTCCTCATCCTGCCATCTCCCTGCTCACTGTCCCCATCCTGCCATCTCCCTGCTCACTGTCCTCATCCTAATTAATAATCATTTTATTAATCATTGTAACAGAATATGTGTGGTGGGCCCTTTTTAAACAAAAGGAGGCAATTCTTTATAAATAGGAACAGAAGTTCCACATTTATTTACAGTGCACTGTCAGTGACAACCAGCAGCCGCACAGACAAGGGAAATTGACGTAAATGCACAGTTACACACATTAACACGATTACGCATATAAGCCACATGGTGCAAGGCATGTTGGTAATCTGAATGGTCTGTCGTGTTGACTGGCCCTGCAGCATCACAGTATGTTGCTTGAATTACAGATTAGGGTAGTAAGGAATGGAGCATCTAATCCATTTGTTACATTGTGAGGAATCTTTTATTAAACTAAAAATATGTTGTACAATATGCTTTTAAAAAGATTTTTGTCCTTAGAATATTAACACAAAATATATAGTAATAATAGAAGTACCATTATAATGTAACTAGATTACCATCACAACACAAACACACTATTTGTTTCGTAGTCAGGCTGAATTCACTAGCACATTTCTCATCCTATTACTACTGCGTACTCTTCACAAATTTACAAGGGCCCTGATTTGTTTAATAGAACAAGAGCATTTGTTGTTGTTCTTTCAAATAATAATTCATGATTCATGAATCATTCAAGATCATTCAAAAACTCCCGTGGGAGACTCTCAAAGTACTGGTGCGCCCCCCTCCCTCCCCAGTTCGGGTTTGTGCACATCACTGTTAGAGTATTCCCAAAGGGATAGCCCAGACTGGAGTCTGAAACTCAAAGAAGTTGGAAAAATACTCTGAAAGATGGTATTTACCCTTTTATGTTTGTGGCTGTTATTAAGTCTGTTCACAAGCTAAATGAGCAGAAAATATTTTATCTCTGCATTAAAGGGAAAAAATCAATGGGATGTAAATTACATGAGCGTTTGGTAATGCTTTACATTACTGCACCTTCATAATGCAATCATTATGCATTTATAGAACATTAATGAGCAGCATGTAAGTACACCTTAAGATCCTAATATACCTTAACAGCTTTAATATACATTAATAACAAACATTATTGATTTATGTGACTTAATGTTTAGTAGAATAAAATGTATATTGAATGAATGCATTATGAAAGTGCACTGAATGTTCACAGAATGCATTATAGAGGGATTATGAAGGTGCAGTTAATGTAAAACGTTACCTTATATTAAAACTGTTAAGGTATGTTAGGATCGATGTAGTATGCTTACATGCTAATTATGAATGTTCTAGCAATGCATTATTAAGGTGCACTCAATGTTCTATGAATGCATTATAAAGCCATTATGGAGGTGCAGTTTATATAAAGGGTTAACAAATATTTCGTAGACCAATTGTACATGAATTCCTTAAAAACAGGTTTACGTAAGTGATTTTAACTTTTGGGGGGAAAATCCATTGACATTTCACACTAGAGTACAGATGCTTTGGCTGGCAGGGAGACAGAGGAGAGCAGGATTCAGGTAAAATATCCCTTAAGGGGCAAGATTTCTGCAGGGAAAAGTGGGGAAAACACAGAGTTCAGGGGAATCAGCTCTGCTCCCGAACGCCCTGCAGCATGGGCAGGGTCAGTAAGCAGCTGGCAGTCCCTTCAGGGCAGTCATCCTCCAAGCAGACTCTCCACAGGGCCAGAGAGAGCATGTGCAGCTGGCTTGCCTTTATGGCTTTAAGTTGCATTGGGGAAAACGGCAGGAAACAATCATTACCGTAGGTTTGTATGGTGTTCATCGCCCCCTGCTGGTGCATGATAGATTCCTGATTGCATCACAATGGTTTTTACAAATGAAACTTTACCCTGAGGAACCACAAAACTGACGTTCTTAATATCAGTGCTTTTCTTTCACACCTATTAAATGTGTAGTATCACATGTGTTGACAGATTAGTTGACTGGTCGCTGTTGGTTTTGGCCAGGTTTGCAAAATAAATATACTTAATATACTATAATATACTTTATTTTATTTTATCATTGTTTAAAAAAATGACCATCAGTTAATCTGGGCATCCTCCTCCTGCTATGTGTCTTGGACAGGTACCTTGGCATCACACGACCCCTGACATATCCGGCCCGGCAGAACGGACAGCTGATGGCCAAGATGATTCTGGTCGTGTGGCTGGTCTCGGCTTCTATCACCCTGCCAACCTTCTGTGGCTGGGCTCAGAATGTCCACAAGGGTGGGTTGTGTCTGATCAGCCAGGACCTCGGCTACACCATCTACTCCACGTGCTTTGCTTTCTACATCCCTCTGGTCATCATGCTCATCCTCTATTATAAGATCTTCCAGGCGGCACGCAAGAGCAGCGCCAAGCACCAGTTTGTGGCCCCCGTGCCGGTAGGTCCCTCCGACCTGAAGGAGGGCCTTAAAATGCAGACCCTGAAGGCCCCGCCCAGGGTGCCAGAAGACTGCAGCTCCCTCTCCCACCTTCTGAGACACAAGCATCACAGCGCCTCTGTCTTCTGGTGGGAACAGAAGGCGGCCACCACCCTGGGGGTGATCATGGGTGTCTTCTCTGTATGCTGGCTGCCCTTTTTCATCCTGAGTACCATGCGGCCCTTTGTCTGCAGTGCAGAGCATGACTGTGTACCCGTGCGGCTGGAACGCACGCTGCTGTGGCTCGGTTACGCCAACTCCCTCATGAACCCTCTCATCTACGCCACGTTCAACCGTGACCTGCGCAGCACCTACCTCGACTTGCTGCACTGCCGGTATCACATCAATCGGCGCCTGTCTGCCGTGGCCGTCAAAGAGGCCCTCAGGGTGTAGCCCCAGCCTGCATGGAAGGAGGTGAACAGAGCTGGCGGCGGCAGCACCGGCGAGGGAAGCTTTCACACACGCCGAGGATTTTGGGTAGTGTAGTCCTTTTGGCATGTGCGTAGAAGGCAGTACCAGATTATTATTAAAGATATTTCTGATGGGTTTTATGTGGCATGCAGCTGCCTTTTTCCATGCGTTTCTGCCTAACGAGAACACGGACCACAAATACAAGAGCAGTTTTATGTTTTTAAAGCATTTGATGTACATTAGGAGCACACATATAAAATGCAGTTCATACCAGATTTCATAATAACTGAACAAATCCTGGGTTTTGTCTTGTTTTCAGATTTACTGATAGTAATAGTAGGAAAGGGTTATAATGTGTGTTTAAACAAAGGATTTTCAGAAATACAAATATCGAAGGGTGGATTGACTTTCACTGACCAAATGTAGATCTGCACACTCTGAGTATTTGTTATTGTACTTATTGTAATATGTTAGTACACCTTAAAATTACAATTCAGTGTCCTCCAGGTCATATAATGACCATTTAAATGCAAATTTACAGGGGGAAACTGCATATATTACAACAGATTAGAACATTTCCATGCATTATTTCACACTGTCTGCACACCTGTGCTTCACGTCACCGTAACCGTGGCGACTGAAGAAGGGGGATGCCAGGCAGGCCAGCGATGACAGGGGTCCTGATGTCCCCCAAAATGCAGTGAAAATGCAGCTCATGCCATTAAACAGCCATTTCCTCTTTCAGTTCAATACCAATGAGCATAAGTATGCATACTGGATTTTGCTCTTTCTGTGCTCGTTTGCTCTTTTTGTGCACAGAAAGAGGGCCGTTTTGAGCTTGCTGTCTGTATCCACACAGATTCTCTACTGTCTGAGCTTTTTTGCTTGTTTTTCACATATGTATTTTAAAGGAATACCCCTTATTGGAAAAGGTGTATACATTCTTCTGATACAATTGAAGACTACAATAGAAGTTCTCAAGTTTCTGTTTATCAAGAAGAAATATAAAAGTTGCATCAAGTGGCTGGCCATAGTGTATTTTTGATATATGTATTTTAAAATATGTATTGTAAATATAAATTTGGATTTTATATTGAGAGATTACATAATTTGTATCAAAATATTTGTGTGTTCAGTATTTTTGTACTTTAGAGATACAGAAAATACTTCTCCTGAACTGTATAAGTGATGATGTCACATACGCACAAGGCCTTGTTCGGTGTGCTGGGATATATCTTAGATATTTCAGCATGTTTGTTCTTTTGTCTAGATTCATATTTGCGCTGTACCTCATTGAGCAGTGAAGAGCTGTCACTCACATGGAAGACCAGTTCAATCTGTGTTCTGGTGAAGGAAGAGATCAAACAGGACGACGTACCATGGAAATTTGTGAAATGTCTTTTTAAAATACAAAATACTGTAGCTTATTTTTATACATTGTGTTGTTGCTGTATTTTGTACTTTATTTCAATACTCTTACAGTTATGGTATATTTTGCTAATATTCATTTTGATGTATTTTTCCCATCTCTGGTTGTATAGTATCACACACAGCAGACTGTGGGTCAGAAAAGTGGTTCAGAATTTTATTAAACATAGCTGACACCTGGCAACCACAGAGAGCACTCCTCCACGGTGTCTTGTCTGCATATGAGTAAGATGTTGTTATACTATCATGGGATGAGGAAGTTCCTGTATGGTGTTAGCAAGGCATAGGTGCTGCATTGCAGCAATATCGCAATAGCTAACGGAAATGCAACACGCATGATGCATTTTCATGCATGCATGCATACACATATCTACTTATGAGCTGTGCTCTCAGGTAAGCAAAGTAATGAAATCTGCTCAAGAGCCTCCAAGTGCTCGTCTAGTGCCTTTCAACTGCTGCCCTGTGCACAACTTACCCGAAACGTTTATTAATAGCAGTGCTTTTTGTGCGACACTGCTTTCCTGTGTATGTCTATGTGAAAGACACTCACTCATAAGTGAAATGGCTCACTTCTGTGGGACCAGGCCTGCTTATTTACATACTAATGGTGTTGGCTGAAAGGTGGGGAGCTGGCCTCGCTCCTCCTGAATCTCTTGAAACTTTCCATTGTTATAGATTAAGTTATTTCTAAACAGGTCTGCTTGAAATTCAGTTTCTGGCCTCTCCGTTTGATCCCACAATCTTCAGTTGCCAAAAGCCACCAAATGTATGGTTGTTTAATGACTCAAACCTACCTCTTTTTCAGAAGCATTTAAACAAATCAGCAACAGTGTCAATGCAAGGTCAGGTCTGGCTTGCTGTTCTGTCTGCGCCTCGACCTTTAGAATCATGCTTGTCCACGTTGCCATGGAGAAGGTGCATGAGGGGACAGCTGAAACACCCACTGAAATCTGCTTGGCAGAGCACCTGCCTGATTGGCTGGTCTTCTGGGGGGGAGCATGTCCATAACATTGCACTCATCAGGCATCAAACCCACAGCATCACAGCATGGCAAGAGCTGGCCATTGAACCCATATCGTCACAACAAGCACTACTTTACACTGCAAGAGGATCAGTCATGCAAACTAAAGTGCTTCCTCAGCTGAGGGAACCACACAAACCCCTCAACACGACTGGGGGGGGGGGGGGGGGGAGCTGGACTGATATCTGCGTGACAGATGGGACACAAACACATTACGCCTCAGTGTGACAGGCAAAGCAGGAGATCAGATGCACATGAAGCAAGATCAGGGAAGGCGCAGAAGCAAGTGTCAGGCAGAGAAAGCAGGACAGGTGCAGCTGAGGGTCACAGACTGCATACTGCTAATGGGTCAGGCTGCAGGGCTGAATTGCACACACCTACTAGTGCAATGGCAAACTTGATGCCAAGGTGGGTCTCACAGACTGAGGCTTTGGGTGCGCGTGAGACTCAGGTCCCAGATTCATCAGCTTCCTCTGGGTCTTTGTGTGTGTTTGTGTGTCCATGAACCCAGAGAGAGTGAGCAGCCCCTTGTGTCATGCTTTTGGCTGTGTGGTTCCTGATTTAGGCCCAAACTGCCATAACCCAGATCAGTGTTTAATTTGATCTTACTAGAGGGGGGGGTGGCATGGATGTAGCCACATCTGAGTTGTGAACAGCCGTTTTTTTACTACCCCCTGGATTGGCCCCACCATCTTATTCTTGCCATGTCATTTTAGTAAAGATGGGTCTTTAAGCAGAGGGGGGGGTCTCTGTGATACTCAGCTAGAGGACACATGTTGTACTGATGCTCCAGTGACTTTTCTAGGCTGTGAAAAATGTCCTGCCCTGTTTAAATCACCACACAAGCAGTTGATGACACAACCCAAGGAGGACGCATCTGCGTTACATTAAAATAGCCACTTGCCTTCCTCTTCATCATCCTCACTCTTTCTCTACCCCTATTCCTTTCTATGGGCCATTTTTAGCCGCTCCAAATGGGATAAAACACCAGCGTATGGGTGGACTGTGCTCACCCCTTTTAAAACCAGTGCTTTTTATCGTAATTCACACGCCACTGACTGTCACATTACCTAACCGTGAAGATCCTGTTCGTTAACTTAGAGCATCACTCGCATTGACGCTAAACTCCCAGACTAATTCTTGTTGCCAGTTTACCCATGGGGGATAGGTAACCACTAAATTACATATAAAATACATGTCATATCTTATGGCAGTGAATGTAAACAGAATGTAATTTCAAATAACTTTTAAACAACACATTTCACTTCACAGCAGTGGCATGTGACAGAGACAGTCTGTATCCATGGCTGCAGATCACGGAGACACAGGAGCCAATGCTGAGTGTGAGTCAGCCCGTTTCTTGGGGACAAATGAACAATTTGATTAGCAATTAGCAAACTTCCACTCGTAGCCATTTCATTTCCATTCTCCTATCTTTTATCTTCTGTTTGTGTGTGTGGTTGTGTACAGGAGGCCTGTTCAACTCGGGCAGGATTAACTGCAGTTGTTGTGCCATGACAATAGCTTCCTGTCTGTGTCTGTATGACTTCCTAACCTGCACCCCACAAGACATAAAGGACCTGCCACCACCGGATGTTTGGGGGTGAACAGAGAATGCCTTACTGACAGTCACTTGGGAGCCTGTCCCAGAAATACTGTAGGTGCATTAGAGTGACTAGCAGTTTATGGGTTCAATTCCCTTTTGGGATACTGCAGTTGAGGCAACTCCTCTGGGTGGGTCAGCTGGTACAGAACTCACATGGCCATTTTACGTCACTTCCATGTCCTGTTAGTCAAACCCAGCTGCCCCAAGTTGTCTCAGGACTGAAGTCACAAAGGAGGACAACTAAACATACCGCAAAATTTTCATGAAATATCCATTAAAGGGGTTTTGTCAATTCCTTTGAGGGATTATGTTGTTCACACCAACTTGTACATTACATTATGCATAGTAATATTACCTATAAGTAGCTTTTTGCTTTCCTTTCTTGCTGTCTACGATTTTGCTGTGTCCCAAAAAATGAAAACCTGGTCTTAGGTAGAGGAAATTTTACGTGGAACAGAGAAGGAACGGACTGCTGTAAAAAAGAGGTTTATGTGACTACGGTGCAGTCATCCACTAAACCTTCACCGTGTAATGACAGGTCTATAAATTCCCCGTGCTTTATTCCTTGTTCCTAAATACCTACCCTTAGATCGACTGGCATCTTGAAATGGTGAAACACTGCCTCCATGTGTTCACATTACAGAACAGCATGCACCTGTAGCTTGGTATCTACAGACTTTCATCTGTCACTGAAGGGTGAGGAGAAAGAAAATTTAAAGAAATATGTAGCTAAAGGGATGGACATGTCTGCAGACTGGGTAGAAAAGCTGAGTGTTCCTGGGTGATTTATTAATGGATGGTATATGTAAAGGAACCTTTGTTTGCCTGAGCTGCGGACAGTGAGCCAGTGCTCTCCACTGCGGGTTTAACTCCCAGCCAGTGCTGCGCAGACTGCTGGAAGAGCACGAGTGTCAGGATAAGACCCTGCCCTATCATATTCTGTCTGTCATTCTGACTGCAGATCCACTGTAAGGCACATCCACTGACAGACTGGGAGACCGAAAATGAGAAGTCCACTGGGAGACCGAAAATGACGTCACTGTAGATCCAACGAAGTGCACTGAAAAGTCCACTGGTGGGTTCCAAAACAATACTACCCACACAAGTGGTGGCCGCACATATCCACCGTTCAATCGCAATTTCTGTTATATTGGGCAAGACACTGGCAATGGAAAGTGGAATGGTAAGTACAGTTTGAGGTTAATTGTTTAACTTTTTTGTTTGCTATGTACTGTATAGAAGTGTAATGGTTTTTGTTCACTATGTTTAGAAGTGTGGGAATGGTTTTTGGTCACTAGTGTTTGGCTGCTACAAAACACAATTCATGCTTTTGGTTAATAGTTTATTTTACTATCATGTGCAGATTGCTCTGGTCGATTGAATAGTGTTGTCATGACACTCCCACAGACATGCATTATATACAGTAAGTGTAAGTTAACCTGACTCAAATTGCCAACTGTTTTGCTGAATTTCATTCAATCAATCTCCCTCATTCAAAAGACCATAAAAGCAAAGTGTGAGCAAGCTTGGGGTCACAGTGCTGGGTCAGCCAGCATGCAGTGCCCCCAGAGCCCTGCTCAGGCGTCCAGTGCTGGGTCAGCCAACATGCAGTGCCCCCAGAGCCCTGTTCAGGCATCTGATGGTGGCATCAGGGATTCAAAACAGCAACCTACCAATCACGGGCCCCAAGGTCTAACCTACTGAGTCGCACGCGGCCGCACAATAGAATATAATGATACTCAGAATAAAAAAAAAATACATTTGTAAAAGTATTGATTCCCTTTCAAATAATACTGTTAATAATAATATTGCAGTAATTATTAACAGTACTATTTGAAAGGGAATCAAAACTTTTACAAAAGTTTACTTTTAGCCGAACAGTGATTTGTTACCACGAAACACGAAACATATGCATGTGGACTGTATTATATAATGAAATCAGTAAAATCTGCTGTGATGTGTTTAAACATCACAGAAAATCATCATCAAATGGTAACAGGTGAATATGTCCCAATATTGTAATCAGAAAATGCAAAATCTAAGTTTAGGTACCTTGCGAGTGAAGAAAAAATGCAAATTATGGAAAGTGTAAGATATATAAGTGATTTGATTTAGTATTCCATCGTTGACGCCAGCATTTGGATTGAGTGGGCTGTTACATTTGGTGCAAATACTGTTCTGCATATCTGGGAATCTGTGCACTGACTGGTGTGTTTTATAGGTCAAGTTCCCCAACGGAAATGCCGGCGGCCCAATCCAAGTCCAACGCGTAAGTATCCCAAGCATCTGTCTCCAATGAGATGGCAGAATATTTCTCAGTGTGCAATACTGACATCAAAGTGTTATATCTGTCTGTCACTAACAGCCATCAGTTGATTTGTGTCTTGTATTTTTGCATTTTATTTTGTATGATTTTACTGTCATTCATCTTAAAAAAAACTGGATAAGTTATAAGGTAACTCATTTCTTTTCACAATTTTATTGGTTACTCTATCACATACTAAAGGCATGCAGGTATACAGTACAGTAGATAATTGCTTTTAACTGAATCACTTTTCAGAAGAAATGAAGCATTGTTTCAATGAGCTGTAAGGGTACCAACAAATTTGTCCACATCTGTAGATATAAATAAAAAATATATGTATAGTTTACCCATGCATACTCTCATGGCTATCTTGGAAATTGGGAAAGTTAAAAGGTAACCAAGTATCTTGGTGATTCCTCTGACTATTAGAAGAAGCTTTTTCTTTGTCTAACAAGCACCCCTCTCTGCATACTCTACATTCCTTCTTATCTGATCCCACAGTTGGTCAGTCGGGCCGTTTCTATGTTCTTTACTTTTTATTTCAAATGAATTAATCAATATATTTATTGTTAAACATGGATAGCAGATTATTGTAATAAGCCAACCACAGATTGTCATTTACAAATGTTTAATTGAGACTGTGATTATAGTGAACTAACGGCCACGCCTAACTCTATCTCGGGTTACAATGTGCTGTCAGGATGTGGAATTTGGAATGTAACTTATGTAAAACTAATCTAAAAGTGTCAACATGCGGTGATGTGCAACAATAACCACCCATACTAAGTACTGATATGGGTCATCAACATGCACGGTGTGAATTAGAGTGTGAATTAATTAATGTAGATTGTATGAGGTGTGAACCTCTAGGTTGGTATGACGATGCTCCTAAATTGAAATCTGGTCAGGTATTGTCATAAAATGGTACGTATCCAAAAAATGTCTCCCTCATCGAGACATCACTCACCACAGTCGGAGCATACACTGAGACAACAGACAGGACACCCAAGGAGTGCCTTAGCCTGAATCTCATAATACGCTCAAAGCTAATTTTCTCGATCTCTAAATTTACAAGCAATTATTTAAAGAGACAACATACATTTACCATATGAGAAAGAGAAGTGCTTCCCCCGCTTAATCAACTTAAAACACATAAAACTTATTCTCCTTCATGTAACCCCTTCCATTTCATTTAAGCTTTTTAGCACAACTACAACCCTTCCATTTCAGTTTAGTTGATGTTTAATACAGCTAACTAACAACAGCAATGGAGCCAAAAACTTTCTCAAAGGCAACCTGGAAAACAAAGTGACCATCTTTAGTGATATCATCTATGATGAAGGCCTCAGTAGGTCTGGTCAAACTGGGACAAAGGAATACATTCCCAAAGCTAAGAGTAGAAGGGAAAAGGAAATCCTTCAGCTGGTGATGGAACGAAGAGCATTATGCAATGCCAGGCTACGGCCAGTGTTTCTGAACAGTGGCATAAGAACATAAGAACATAAGAAATACCTGCTGTGTACTACGCATTTCATATTTACCTAGCCTAAGATGAATAAGACCTCCAAATTCTTATTGGAACCACGGCTTCTTATTTAAATCAATGTCTTCATTTGCTCACCATACTCTACTGCCATTTTACTGTTACGAACGAAAAATCACATTAAGCCTGGGTAATCTCACCATTTTCATTACAGGGATATTTGTGAGATTCATATATGAAATAAATATAAGTGCTACTGCCAAAACATTTTGTTCATACATTATTTTGTATTTCCAAAATGTCTTTATTACAAACTGCATGAATTGCTAGATTGTGTGGGGCATTTTGTCACAAAGTGCTGTTCCGGTGAACACAGTGTCACATTTTGAGCAAGGTTTGTTCACTTCTGAGAACTATTTGTGGATTTTGCTCATAGTTTTGAGAAAATGAGGCAAAGAAATGCATAGAATCTATTGAAAACTTCTAAACTTGAAATAGATAGGATAACTGTTAGCTGTATGACTTTGGTTGGGCAGAGTGTAGGGCGCTTCATTTAGGGCTGATGAGGACATTCTTGGTCGAGTCCCGGACGCTCTTCAGGAAATGGAAGGCATCTGTGCCACCTGTGCCCTTTTCCTCCCTGGGGGTGGGGTCGCCCCTGTGTGCACTCTTACTGGGTGCAGACACATAGCTGGTTACAGCCTGCAGGTGGTAGCATCGCAGGTCCACCAGGGCCT